AGCATGTAAGATTTTTACCCCATATGGTTCTAAATGATTTTGACTATATTTAGAAATAGGATCCACTCTCAAAAGCACAAATATTTTCAAAAAGGAAGACAGCAAAGTAACAGTAGTTTCAACCTTTAAAACCAATAAAATACAATCGCTTCCCAATAACCTTTGGTCTTGCTCTCACCAACACTTGTAAACACCACACCCTCTCTCCCAGTTCTGATGACTACTAAGTTACGCTGGATCCAAAAGCATGTGTGTGATGTATACAATGTGTGCATCCATGTGCATATGTGTGTATCCATGTGCAATGCATGTATCCATGTGCATGTGTGTATCCATGTGCAATATGTGTGCACCCACGTGCATGTGTGTATCCATGTGCATGTGTGTATCCATGTGCATGTGTGTATCCATGTGCATATGTGTGTATCCATGTGCAATGTTTGTATCCATGTGCATGTGTGTATCCATGTGCATGTGTGTGTATTCATGCATGTGTGTCTCCATGCAATATGTGTGTATCCATGTGCAATGCATGTATCCATGTGCAATGTTTGTATCCATGTGAATGTGTACATATCCATGTACAATGTGTGTATCCATGTGCATGTGTGTATCCATGTGCATGTGTGTGTATTCATGCATGTGTGTCTCCATGCAATATGTGTGTATCCATGTGCATATGTCTATCTATGTGCAATGCATGAATCCATGTGCAATGTTTGTATCCATGTGCATGTGTGCATATCCATGTACATGTGTGTATCCGTGTGCATGTGTATCCATGTGCATGTGTGTGTATCCGTGTGCATGTGTATGTATCCATGTGCACGCCTGTGGTTTTCATCACAAAATTCTCTGTGCTATGGCTAGGTGTTTATGCTCGCTCCATGGACTCTCTCACAAGTCACTGTTGCCAACTGAAAAGCTGGGCTCGAAGGCCCTGGTTTCCACACCTTCCCGATGTCTGTCACATCCAAATTCACGTGTCCTTGCTTGGCATCGTCCCTATTCACTACAGTGATCACAGTGAGGTGGGGGGGTCCTCATTTTCTAGGTCAGTAAAGCACGAGAGTGAGAGACACAGTAGGAGACGCAGCCAGTATCTGGCTGCAAACCGAATGCCCGCACCATGCAGGCAAGCTTACTGATGATGTCCTCAGGGACAAATCTGAGACCAGGGGCGTAATCACGACCTTCCAGTCTCCTGCTGGTGTGCAGCCTCACCTTCTTCTTCAGTCTTTCCCCGTGCGGTGTGACAGTCCTCACCCTCCCCAGGCATACCCAGCTGTCAGACAGCTTCCTCTATGTTCTTTGCAGACATTTTCCTCTTTCCTAGCGCCATGGTCCCTGGGGATCTTTCCTTGCCTTTGACCTCATATGACAGTTTCCTGAGCAGTTTCCAACACTGCCATGAAGCTGAGATACTGACGATTTCCAAATTTATAACTCCAGACATGACCAAGCCTCGGGTTCCACTTAGAAATCACCCATCTGCCAGCATATCCTAATGCCTACACAGTTCATGCCCAAATGCAAAACCTTAGTCCCTGAACCATTTCCTGGGTCCGGTCAGAACAGCGCGTTGCTTTGTGCATTTCCTAACCCGAGCCGTATCTCCTAGGAAGCACAGTCATCAGGGACACAGCAGTGATGTGTGCCCCTGCAGAGAAGATGCAGGAGGCAGGAATACTGAACACCCAGCCACTGGCTCAGGGACCCTGATTCTGCTCCAACAGCTGCGTGGTTGCTGATTTGGGCCGGTAGAGAGACCACCACCCTCATCTTTGAAGCTCAGCCAGGAGGCACCAGACTCCACAAAGGAATCAATCACAGAAAGCCATGGAAAGACCATTTAGAAATCTGCAAATGCAGATTTGCATTTGCCGGAAAAATCTCTTGAATTACTTTTATCTCCCATTTGTATTATCTGTGGCCCCAACAGCCCCCGAGGCACAACTATTTCTCAGTCCTGTCACATTCTTCAAATTGGTCCCCAGTGCATCCATCTACCTACCTTGGTACTTCTTTGCCTCAAATGTGAGCCAACTCCTCGTTTCCTACAAGACGGGATTCACACTTGTACGCATGGAAAGAAGGCTTTTCACCACGCAATTTACTGCTCAACCAAGAGTTGGCTCTGCATGTTCCTCTTGTGATACAGTAACAAGATTTCTTGTTCTGGTGGCAAAATCCTCCGCAACAGCGCGGCCTGTCTCTCTGGAATCCTGTCTTCCTGCAGTACTAATGCGGTCCTCCTCCCTATGAGCACAGGGCCTCAGCACAGTGCTAGGAGCCACTGAGCACTCAAGGTGTCAGCAGATTCTTCTGCTACTCTCTATCTGTATCTGTTTACAAGGGGCAACTGGGGTGAAGAGTGAACGTCTACACCCTTAAAGTGCGCCACGGTAAATGATGCATTACCGCTGATAGGTGCTCCCCTCCAACACCTGCACCCCATTCCTGCCACTTTCTGCCGCAGCGCTGGGGTCCTTTTCCTGAGTGGCCTTAGCTGTGCTGTTCCTGGCTGCCTTGATGTTCAGATAGACTCACAACATTTCCCTTTCATGGTATATGTTTTACGAGCTGCCTTTCTGTTGGATGGCACTCGGCAGCAGCATTCACTGGGTTTCTGATCACAGCTCCTAAGGACACTCATGACAGAGGAGTCCAGAACTGCCTCAGGAGGTGGGAGGACAGGGGACAGCACAGTCTGCTGGGAACAAGGGGAAGTGCTTTAGGGGGATTAATGACAGTGTGCGTTTCCCTGGATAATTCCTTAAAAACTCAGACATTCACCATCTATTCTGATCACATATTGCATACTCTGCCCTCTCACTATTCCCCAGGTTTCAGAGAAAGAAAGCCACTTTTTGTCCCAATAACTGTCTAGTGGAGCACATTTTGCACAGCTATTTTATGAGGTGTTGCTACTGTTGAAACAATGAGTGAATTACAATCATTCGGTCATTTTTCTGCGTGATGTTTGCCTATTACTAAAACCTCTTTCCCACCAGTCACTGTAATCCAGCCTAATGTACCTTTGGTGGATCTAAAAAGGACAGTTTTTCACACATTAACATAACCATCTTTTAGCTTAGTAACTGAAGGGGAAGAGAGCTCAGCTCTTAAATTGTGAGAATTTTTTCACCGAACCGAAGTTTTCAACTAAAAACGACAGCAAACCACAATAACACCAAGGACTAAAGCTGAGAATTTCCAGACAGGACCATGGGAAAAGCCTGGGCAGACCGGTAACACAAAGAACTCCAGCTACAAAGAGGTGGGTGTACTCAGGAAAGCGCACGGTTTACTCTTAATTCTCCCTAACATGATCTCTTCTGTCTTGAACACTTTCTCTTAACTGTCAGACTCAATCGTTTTTCATAATGGAGACCCGCATTCTATTATTATTTTTTAGAAGTAGGAAACGTTGTGTTGAAATTTGAGGGTGAAAGGAAAGGAGGCACAGAAACAAATAACGCCCAGGCGGGGTCAGGAGAGCCTGTCTGTGAAAACTGCATCACCACAAGGATGACTCCGAGTTTTGTGAATCACTACTAAATGTGCCAGCATTTCGCGGCACACAACTATGTACTCACATCTATACCCCTAGAGAGGAGGGCTTCATTTCAGATTCATGTTGTTATTGAAACCTCCACTTGCAAATGTTCAGTTATTTCACGATTAAATACTAAATTATGAGGTAAAATTTGGAAATGGGCTGGATAAGAAACCGTATTTAAAGCCTTTAGAACAAGGTGTCCGTAAACCATAACTGGAGGGTGAGGCTGGGGGAGAAGCATACTCCCTCCCCATGTGGGTGATCCGAGATACACTGAGCTGACTGTAACCTTTAGGACTTGGGCAATGCAACCTGTTTACACAGACAGGGTCAGGCAGTGCGGCTCCAGGGGTCCTCCACTGCTGGAGAAGGGCACCCCACCGGAGCCCAGTAGGAACGCTGGAGAGGCCCAGTCCCCCTCAGGCAGCCAAGATAGTGCCAAGGGATCAGCAGGTCCGCAGGGGAAAGGAGTTCGGGGGTTCACTCTGTAGCTGCTTACAGAAGCCACCTTGGCAGTAGCACCTTGGAGGCCTGTGAGGGGTTATCTCTGCCCCTGGAGGCCCTCTGGAGCCCCAGGGCACAGACTGAGAGGAAAGAGGAATGGGGTGAGACCCTGAAAGCAAAGTGGGGACAAGCCTCCTGCAACAGTGCTGATCGGCCTCAGGGCCTGCGCTTATGCTCAGGTGTCTGTCCTCTTAGGAAAGATCATCTCAGTGGGGACAAATGCAGACAAACACTAGTATCCAGGGATCAGAGGTCGGCCAAGCGGCCCTGTTACACCTCGGGGCCCTCAGAGCATCCAGCAGCAGCCTGACCCTCAGCACCGAGGCCTCGAGGCCTCGCTGGTTCCTGCCTTGACTGTGATTAAAGCGGCATTGTTCCCAACACCCATGGCATCTTGGTGTTAGTACCGAAAAGAGATTAATAAGCTAGGAGTCACACAGTAAAACACATTTTAAATTCCTTTGGTCCTTGTTAAAATACATAATTGCACATGTGAGGTCTGTGTTTTGATAAAAACACACAATGTGACTTTGTTAATGTTTAGGCTTCTTAGTGAATATGTTAAGCCCCTTTCAGTTTTAAAATACTATTATTTAAGATCCTGTGAAAACATTTCAGCTCCTAGCTCTGGACAAGGAGGTGACCTCACAGGGAAACCAGTGATGACAGGGATGAGCTGCTCCCTGGCACCTGCTGATGCTGGGCAGCAGCCGTGATGTGTGGACACCGCAGTCCTGTTTCTGCTCATTTTACTTTTGGGTCTCAAAACTCACACATACGTGACAGCATAAATCTATCCTAAAAGAACTCCCCAAACCTGCCCTACAATATGTAAATAATGGCTGGTTTTATTTTCACATTGCGTGGTTATTGTTACATATATAGAGAGATAGATAGATAGAGAATTTGACATAAATAAATAAACATATCTTGCCTTACAGACTCTTCCAACCCTAGAAAGGATGGTCTTGTCAGAAGTGCTTCCTTCTTGAGATGATTCGCGAAAGAAGAAATATATTTTATCATCATCTGGGTTGTAGGTGTCTGGTATGGGGAAAGTTCCAATAAATTTTGCTCCTGTTTGAAAGGAAAAAAAAATCTATAAATTAAAACATCAAAACCATCTGACTGTAATAGTTCCAATGGCTTTTGCATGTAAAACGGCTAGACCTGGAATAAAAAGAGTCGTGTGTGGGCAGCGAGACGTGTGAATGAATAACCGTAGAAAGAGCCCTGAGCAGTGTCGCGGGGATTCTGCAAAGTGGGCAAGAAGGTGACTCCAGGGCTCGAAGCATCGTTCCAGTTGCCTGTGTCACAGTGGCACACCATTTAACGACAGGGGTGTGCTCTGGAAATTCCGCTGGTAGGTCCCTCAGACTTAATTCAGCATAACCACCCGACCCAGCAGGGCTGTGGAGCCCCAGGTACTGCAGCCTCGAGGGACCACCATGATACACGGCACAGTACATGGCCAGCCGCCACTGTCGGCCAAAACATGCAGTTACTAACTCAAAAGTCTTTTCAATCTACAATTATACCTGGTGGCAACAGAGTCCGCCAGGCAATTCAGGCTGGCCTTGAACTCACTGTGTAGACCAGGCTGGCTTTGAACTCCTGACAACTCTCCTGCCTCAGCATCCTTGTGGCCTTTTATAAAGACCTTAGGCAAAGAAACATACATGTATTCTAAAGTCTGACATTTATGGTGTTCTTTGCTGCATTCTGTGAAACTGCCCAAGGCAAAAATAAATGAAAACAAATAGCGGCCTCCTGAGTCATCCGCAGTGTGTCGCCTTTCTGGCTTTACACCCAGTCCCTGCTGTTTACTGTAAATGTGACCGCAGGCGAGCTGTTCCTGTGACCTGGGTCTCACGAGTGATGAGCAAGCTCCCCATGGCAGGAAGCCGGCAGAGACACTGAGTGAAGATCCAGTGGGCTGGCCCCCGGCAGGCACCTCGCATCAGCGAAGCAGCCCATGGATGCGACTCATCGCTGAGGCTGAGATGATGAAGGCTGCCCTTGCTTTGGCCACAAACGCGCAGCTGGCAGAGAGCTGGGCACATGCGTGCTTCTGAGAACAGCACCTGTGTATCAACAGGACGATAACCATAATGCAGGTACAGTAAAACAAGACAGATCAGAACGCTGTCAATACACCATGGCCGCTGCAAGGCACTGGTGTGACGGCAATGGGTCGGGGTCCTTGTTTAAAGTGCGAAGTCCTGGGTTTACCCAGTGTGGACTTGTAATCAGCTGGCGCTGGCCCAGAAGCAGTCACCTGATGGCAGAGAGGAGACAGAGACAGCGGCTGCTGCAAAGGCAGAAAGGACTTTAGGTTCAAGGATGGAACAACAGGAGGTCAGTGCAGAGCCGGGCTGAGGGCTCAGGCAGCAGGTGCAAAAGATGAAGACTCAAAAACAGGAAAAATACTGGTGGGAAGTGAAAAATTGTGGTGTTCCTGTCCTTGCTCTGTCAAGGGCTGTGAGGCCAGGAGCCCAGGGGTGTGGAAATCTCCCCTGAAACGCAGCAGGGTGGGTGGACGCAATGGGGGAAGTGCTGTGGTAGCCTGCAGCACACACGGCATCCTGGGCCGGGCGTTGGTGCTGTCACCACAGTGGGCCTGAGTGACAGGCAGGGACCAGGAGGAGGACGATGTGTCCATGTGTCCGAGTTCCCTCTTTGATGCTTTTTTATGGCGTGAAACTCCGATGGACTGAGCACTCCTGAACTTCCCAGCTTTGCAGCGGAGGTGGAAAATTACATAAAAACTAAAATTAGGAAGCCATGTAAGACTTTAAATCCCTGCTTTCCTAACTCAGCCTCCTGGAAGCCCTGGAAGCCTCCTCTTGCCCTGCCCCCAGGGTTTGCTAGATTGGCCATGAATCCTTCTTAGATTGCAAACTAACTTTTCAGCTTTATGTAAATATAGTCAGTTTTTAAAAAAAATTTCTGTGGGAAAAATCTTATAAATGTGAGTTTATGATTTTAACAAGGTATAAAATGAAGAAATTGTTAATTTCTGTTGCACCAAAGCACCACTGGGACCCAACAATATGCAGGTGGAAGAGGGCAGACTCTTCTGTTCAAATCTGCAGGAAGGCGATAGCAACAACTGACCGCCATGTGGCTAAGCAACGGCCTCCCTGAGCAAAGGAGACTGCAGTGGAGGACACCCCAGCGGACCCTGACACGGCCTGGGTGTCGGTGGGGATCTGCAGAGCTTCCCAGTTTACAAAGCCTCAATCCAGCGCCAACAGACCGCAGTCTGGACAAATGCGTGCCCTGAAGCAGGCGGTAGGGTGAGCAGGGTCCTGGAGCACCTGAACTCGGCGGCATGGCATCCTGCCGAGCTCACAGAGACACCATCACTCGTCATTTAAGAAAAACACAGCCATACCACAGTGGTGGGCGGAGCAGCTCAGCACTGGGGCATCTTCCTTGCTCAGAGTGGAGCAGGGCATCCTGAGCAGGGTCCCGTCCCACACACCCTGCAGCACTGCACATTGCTGGGCCCCTTCTCAGCCCGTCACCACAGATCCTGCTGAACTTGCCTTCGCTTGGGTGCCGGCTCTGGGTGAGCCTTGCAAGCAACCACCTGGGAAGGCCGGTCCCGCCACGTGTTTATTACGTGCCAAAATCTCACTATGGAAAGAATGAGTGGCAGACAAGACCGTTCTGTGACCTAAATTACAAGCACACATGTAAGTTAAAAATAAAAACACATCTCAAGAATACAAAGTTTCTTTCTTGCACATTACACTGGAGTCTTGTCTCAGAACACTGACGTGAGTGATTTAGGAGAGAAGCTCTTTCCTGACTGGCTGCCAAGTTGGGGTAAAAATAGTTATCACTAATGAGAGCTTAGTTGTTGAGTGAAACAAATTAAAACTGAACCAATGGGCACCTGGGCCTCATTATAGCACAGTTTTCCCCTTTGGCCCTACGAGCAAGGGAGTTTGAAGTCACGCATTTGCACAGATGCACTCCTATGTGACAGCAGGAGCCCTTGCCAGCGGGACTCGGGAGGCACCCGCCTGCCCCTCGGAGCACCCGCTCTCCTCCTGCTGCCCTGGCTCCAGGTGAGCCCACCCTTCCCAGGGCTCAGCAGAGTTCCAAACTGCCTTTTATTCCTTCTTACCACACCAGTTTCCTGTTGTTTTAAAGAGAATTTCTGTCTTTCTGTGGGAGAATTTACAGACAGAAACTTCAAATGCAAGCTGCCTCCATCTGTTAAAAATAAAATGTGCAACAAAAGTCCTCATCTACTCCAGAAAGAAAACAAAAGCACATGCAAGGGAGGCGTCACTGTTTGTTTTAATTTTCCAAGTGGTCCCATTCCTTAGTTTTACGCTAAAATGGTAACAGAACTCAGCGGTGTTTGAGTAATCAACGGACCCACTCTGTTCCCTTTTCCTGATGCTAAAAGCAGCAGGCCTGGAGCTTGGGCAGCCTCCTGGGTCTCACCCAGAGTCACCCAGTGAGAGGCTCAAGACAGTGGCTGGGCACTGCGGGGCAGGCTCCACTCTCCTCCCCTCTCAGAGCTGAGCGAGAACCGGAGCTGCTCTGAGCAGCACCCATAAAGAAGGGTTGAAGGGCGCTGACTCTGAATTCAGGGCCCGAACACAGAGCCAGGCATGCAGGGCTCCCTGCTCCCCAATGGGTCCTGCAACAAAAGGCAGTTCCAGGAGACCCGTGCAGCTCACCTAAAGAAGTGCAATCCTCCGAACCCACATCCTAAGGCTTAAATTAACGTACTGATAAGAATTCAGTTCATTACGAACCAATAATAAGTAGGAATTCAAACTGAAAATGAAAGGATGGAAGACAATTTAACAAACGATTCTTTTCCTGTCTAATCAGAAACAGACAGTACATGGCCACCATCACACACAAGAGGAAGGAAAGCCAGCAAAGACACTGAGCCCACTGCCCAGAACTCGAAGAGCACCTCGATTCCCTTGGCCTGGCCGGGGCCGGGAGCTGAAGAGCAGGCTTCAAGTCTGCACCCTGAGATTGGCTGTGGGCACCATGCACTGCATGGACAGAGGACTTGATGCAGGCCCTGGGCAGTGGACAGTCCCTCACCAAGGGAGATGCTCCCGCTTGCACTGCTGTGCGCCCCCCTGGCCCAGGCACAGGGCTCTGTGGCACATGAATTGTGGCCAGTCCACCTGAAGGCAGAAGCCCCAGCTTCCCGGGCTCTGCCTGGAGGCCAGTAGCTTCTGATTTGGGGTATAGGCCACTCTCCTCTCAGCTGCTCCGCCCACCCAACAGGAGGCCAGCTGGGCACCCAGGAGCCTATGTGTCCCTTCCCAGGTCCATCTCACGGTGTCAAACAGGAAGCTAAGGAAGGCAATGTCCAAGATGGCATCTGGTGGAGGTCCACATGGTCTGCCTGCATGCACCTCTCTGCCCTGCTAGCCAGGACCAGCTGCTGCACCCGGGAATCACTGGCTCAAAAAGGAGGGTGCCCCACTGGGTCTCTCTGGGCACAAGGCTCTCAAATGCCACCTCTGACCTCCTCCTGCACTCCACCAGTTCCCCGGCCCAAGGACCCCTTCCCGCCTGGTCTCTGCAGCACTGTTGTCCTCTATGCCCGCTGCTTTCCCTGAGCAAGCTCTGGCCATGCTGCCCAGGTTTCCCCACAGCTGGCCAGCTTGCTGCCTCTCTCAGGCCCTTGATGACCGACCCTCATGCTGCTGTGTGGTGGCCCCAGTGGCAGCAGGTGTGGGTTGCCTAGGTGAGGGTGCAGAGTTCATGGGGCACTGGGCTGCACCACCCTCCCAAGGGGCCTCATGCATGGGCGATGGTGCCCTTGTTCCTTCATCTTGCGGGTGTAGCCAGCGAATAGTGATCCTCCCAGGTCAGGCCAGGAGACAAAACAGCCTTCCTCCAGGAATGCAGGGTCAGAAAGGGAGGCTGATAAGCTGTTTGGAGAGGAAGCCATGAGGCTAGGGAGGGCAGCTAGGAAAGGAGAGATGGGTGGTGACCAGGAGGAGCAGCCGAGGGCTGCGGGGAAGCAGCAAGGTCAGCAGGTGCTCAGATGACCCTGAGGCCAGGCTGAGCTATTAGATAGAGGGAAAAACTCTGCCAGAGGGAAGATAAGCTCAGTGTAACCCATGGAGGGAGTAGAGAGAGCCAAAGACCAGGAAACTAGTCCTGAAGGGCAGGCTGGAAAGGAAGGAAAATCATGGCAAACATTTACATTTAGACTCAGAAGTTTAGATTTCAGACCCGAAGTGACACAATCAAAGCTAAGTGGGTGACATCTTCACCCCCGTGCAGAACACTCATCTTTGCTTTTCATGTGAGAGCGGGTGGAAGACACACAGCTGCACAGGTTTAAGGTCATTTAGTCACAGAGCTGACTGGCATTGTGGCAGCTGCACTGGGACACTGGACACCAGGACGCAGAGGGGTGAGGTCCCCAAATTCCCAGGGGTGCAGGGAAGATGCGGGTGTCACTGCAGCTGCTAAGCAGACACCAGGGCCTCAGAGCGGCCGGGGCTCCTCCTCACTGCCCACCTCTCCCTGCAGACTGAGTGAGGCCACAGCTCAGCTCCCAGGGTCTCCTGACAGCAGATCTGACCTGGTGCCGTGGTGACCGGATGCTGCTATGGGCTGGGAGGTCAACGTCCGAATGCTCAGAACGTTCTGCCCCAGGTCACACAGGCGTGAAAGTCAGGGTGTATACGCAGACACTCAAGCACCAAGAAAACAGCTACAGTTTCTGACTAAACAGGGAAATTTGAGAGTAACAGGAAGAGGGAAGCAACCTGGAGATGTCCTGAGCCAGCCATGTCCTGTCACCTGTCACCTGGCACAGGAGCGCTGAGCACTGTGCCGAGCACCAGGGCCCCTGGGCACTCTGCAGCCACTGGCCATGAGCTTGACACAGAGATGTCTGGGCACCCCTCTCCCGCCTCCTACATTTTCCCTTCTCCTGGCCTCCCATCTTGAGCTCTGTCCAGCAGCCTTGGGGCCTCCTATTCCTGGAGGGCAGGATCTCTCTCAAATGGGTGTGGCCTCCCCATTCCCAAAGCCCACCTCTGTCTCATCCCCTCCTGGGCACTGCACATTCACACAGGGACCCTCTCTGTCCTCCGTGGTCTGCCTTTGCAATTTAAGAGCAAGCTATCCACAGAGGAGGACACCACTGCCTCAGTCTCCCTGACCCTGCAGGCTGGATCTGTGGGCTCAGCCCACCCTGACTCTCCCACCCCTGGGTGCTCCACACACAGGGAACCCTGAAAGTGGCTTGGTGAAACCGGTCCCACTTGGTAATTCTGTTAGTGTCCCACAATAACAGCGCCCAGGCAAGCGGTGGTCGAGCTTATGTTTCCTAAGTCAATGGTGTGGGGATGCTACAGACTGATTTACAGAGGTGTGGACCTTAGGGAGTCACTGACAGCTCTGAGAGGAACAGGACTGATGATAAGGACCCCATCCCCACACAAAGAAACAGCCTTCTGCCTTCTGCCTCCGGGAAAGTCACGGGGGAGAGCATCACATAGCCAGACATCTAGGGAGGTAGAGAGGACAAGTCAGTGCACAGCCAGCAGTGACTAGTAAAAGTGCAAAAAATTACAAAAACTCGGAGACCTGATAAGCTTTCTAGAGGTGAAATCTATAGAGTCATTCCCAAACCAAGAAATTTTATGAAAATTAACTTGGGTCAATTTTTTGGTCCTATAGACACCACATTGTTGTGTAAACAAATGGATCTGGGGGCTTGGGACTAAAGAAATGTGGAAAAGTGTTTCTCCTGGTTTGCGCGGACCCTGCCTAAATGGCACAGTGATGGAGAGGCAGCCCTGTGGCGTCCCAGTGGCCTCCTCCGTGGGGGCCCGGGGCTCACTGTGGGAGCAGCCCAGGGTCTGCCTGCCTGAGGGGTGGGTTATTCCTCACAGAACAAAGCCAAGTGTCAGCCAGGAGCATGAGAGGATCATCATGCTATCGGCCTGCTGAAGGCTGAGCGGTGCACAAAGCAAGAGCCTTGAGCTCCTCACAGAATCATTACACAGATTTGAAAGTGTATATTTTGAAAACTTAAAACACAATGAGACTCCTACATAAAACAGTCATGAGACAAACCTATGTCTGTCACAGTGCACTTATATCTCATATATCTTAGCAAAAAAGGAGTTATCACTGCATGTCTCTACATTAAGGCAGAGGAAGGAAATGCCAAGCTCTCTGACTTGTTCGGCCTTGACTTGATCTCTGTGTTGCACACACTCAGTCTCACACTGCACCCAAACACGTGCAGTTACTACATGTGCACTGAAAAGAAAAATGTACATTACATGTCAATTAAAAATAAAAATACATGCAAGACAGGAGCTAGCTGTACACTCTCACCCTGGCCACAGAGCAGAGAGGCAAGACTGGGCTCCATCCTGCAAGCAGAGACTCAGCGGGGGACCCACTGCAGCCATGAACCCCGACTCCGAACCCGGCAAGCTGGGACCTTGACCAAATCAGTCAGCCTCCTCTCAACCACAGATTGCTCGGCATTATAGATTATAAAGTAGCGACACACCTCGTGTGTCACTGTAAATATTAAAATGCCCGTTGGGGTAGAGTGGTGCCTGGGACGATGCGGGAATTCAGTAAATATCAGCGATCACTGAGCACAGAAGCATCCAGTTTGTCTAACTCCATGTGAAATTACTTCACATGTATGGTACAACTTTGGGCTAAGTTCACCAGCTCAGAAGCACCTCAGGGAGTAATGAGGAACTACATTTCTACCCCAAAGCGATGGCAAAATATCAAAGCCAAACCGCGACTCACCATTGAGCCAGTAGTGCTCGGAGATGTCAGTCCTGAGGTAGTGGTGGTCATGCGTGGGTCCCAGGGACCGTGTGAACGCGGGGTCTTTGCCCAGGAAGTCGGATGCCGTTCCCGAGTAGAGGTACTCATCTGCACGGGAGCACAGGGGCTTCTTGAGAGTGTGTACCGTATGCTGGGCCACCTGCACCCCAGGGGCGGCACTGCTTGGTGTCAAAATGCAGTTTTATAAAGTTCACTTCAGATTTGGAGAAATAAGCATTGTTGATGCGTGGTTGTTCTTGGAGAGGGGGAGACAGAGCCCTCTCTGCAGACCAAACTGCTGGGCCCTGGGAGTCGTGTACAGAGCTTGTTCGGGTTCACTAGGGAGAGGAGGAAAGAGGAAGGCAGGGAAGAGAGGAGGAAGCGGGAAGAGGAGGAGGGTCAGGGAAGGAGGGAGGAAGAGAGGGAAGGGCTGAAGGAGAGAGGAGGGTGGAGGAGGATGGGGTGCTCCTCAGGGCCGGGCCAGGCAGGGCAGGGGGCACAGGGGCATCCCCATCACCCTGAAAGCTGGGTCTTGGCTATTGCAAGAGAGTTTTATGGTCCTCTGCTTTGGGCTATGCTTAATAAAAACAAGAAAAGTAGCTAATTTACATAGATCATTTGCATTTCTTTAATATTTACATATGAAAACAAAAATAGTATTCTGTTATCACAATTTAATTTTGCCTTGCATGAGAAAGGATTAAAAAATTCCCGAAATTGTTTGATGCTGTCTCTCCCAATGAGCCTTTCACCAAATTCCTGGGGACTTTTAACCTGAAAATGACAGAAGGGACTTCTGGGGGAAACAAATCCCAAACAGGGCAAATCCAGCTGTGGAAAGGGGAGGATGACAGGTCCCCCACACTTAGGATACTTTCTGAAACCTGAACCTTTCATGGAGGAGTAAATTCCAAAACTGAGCAGCATAGCAGTATCACTCATGAAGTTTGATAAGAACACAAGAAAGCAATCGTTTCGAAATAGACAAAATCCCCAAAATTCAAATACCTTAGAAGAAAAATAGTATGCTCCAAACTAAAAAATGTGTCAACTTTTCAATTTTTAACTCTCTTCTTTGTACTAAAATTACTTTTGGATTCTCGAGCAGTGTTACCAGGGCCTGGCCCAAACCTATTGGTTTTTCATTTGTTTGCTTGTTTTTATGAAGAATATGTCAACTCCACTTGACAGATGGGAATCACAAACCATCTCTTTGGTTTACTGAGAAAGACTGAACCTTAGCTGTATAATTTTCAAAACACACAGAGACCCAGGTGCTTTCTTTTGAAAGCGAGGTCACTGGTCCCGGCCAAGTGAAGATTAAGGCATGGCTGTGGTGCTCGCTTAGCGTCTGATTGAATGTGTGCCAGAGGAGTCACATAGAGAGACTACAGTCATGCGCAGACACAAAAGGGGAACCGAGGACAGCTGCGATCCGGGCGGATTCTGCCCCAGTCCTTAGAGACACTTCACACAGCGACACCTCCTTCACATAAGAGTCATCTCCTACCGGAATTTGAGGTCTGCACAAGGGGCTTTTATTTAAAAGGCAAGAATCGAAGAAAAAATGGAAACAGAGCTTTGGCAGACAGGAAGAAGAGCTGACAGGAGCAGCCAGGGAGGGAGGAAAAGCAGAATTAAGACGTGTTACACACACGGGCTGACTCCCAGGGTACCTGTACGGGTAACGTGCTGCAAACATGTACTAATAAAAATCAAATACATTTTCAAAAATGCTGCGTGCCAAGTGTGAGAAGACTCTGTGCTAGCAAAAGTTCCACATTCCCAGAGAGGTAACGGTGAAGTTGGGGGAAGCAGGTGTTATCACTGTACTTCTGTGCTCTATGGCTTTGTTCACTTTGTTTACTAATTTATTTACTTACAGGATTGCCCCATTTTCACCCATAGTGACCTAAAGAGCACAGCTCAGTGTCAGAAAATCCCAGGGTCTAGGTGCCAAATCTGAAGTGAGCAAGCAGGATATCCACATAGAGAAGAATCCAGTCGGGGCTCACATCCAGGCAGGCTGCAGACTTGGGGCCGGGCCTGGCCTCCCGAGGAGGGCGCTCCATGCAGAGACCTGTGCTATGATCCCGACCCCAAGCGGCGGGGAAGAACCATCCAGAGCTGTCTTCAGCTCCTCAAGAAAATGAGCTTTCCCCTGCACACACCTTTCCCAAAGCCCTCTACATGCAAGGCCTGGGTGTCCTGGGTCTCACCTGTCATCACAGAGGCAAACGCCTGCTGGGGGTCAAAGGGACACTTCAGTCTGCCGGACTCCAGGTTATGTAGGTCCATTTTGAATGTGACTTCCTGCCACGAGAAATAGCAACACATGGAAAGTGTCAATACTGTCAAAATCTGCAAGAACACAGAAGACAGGAACTCAAGTGCAACTGACAAATTCAGGGACAGCTAACAGCGCACAGGGCAGGAGCTTCTTCAAAGCACCACTCAGCCGCCAGGTTGGTCCCCCGGCTCACACCTGGTGAGGGACCATCGCCAAGGTCAGTCACCATGTGCACACGCATAGGTATCTTCCAAGCCGAGGAACTGAGTCACTGAGCCGAACAGAACCAACTTCCTCTCCTAAGGAACACAATGACTGTAATATTTATGCTTTCAGGATCATCATCGTGATTTGTGTAACTCGACATTTGCAGCTCCGCCAAACTACTTAAACCCATGGCTTTGTTTTCGTCTTTGTGACATAAAAGCGTCCTAAGCTGGGCAGATAATTTCAGAGCTGTTGAGGCATGTGGGCAATAAAAGCCTTCTGTTGTAGTAGTTTTACTATTATGAAAACACTGTACACACGAAAGCCACATAGTTATTTTGGCTGAAACGTCTATTTTTATAATAGTGGTCACAGACAGAATGACATTGGCAGACTTTTAATATTCAGGAAAAAATAACATCTTAAGTTGAACTTTCCAAGAAAAATACGAATGTATAATGAATGCAACCGCAGGAGCCAGAATGTTTTAAACAGTGACAACATTGCCATCCAGCAAAAATGCAGATGGCTCACCCCGCACAGTCGGTTGGAGAAAGGCAGCGTTGCACAGAGCAGCATCGAAGTCCTGGAGCGGCACCTCGGGAGAGAATCATCTCTGCTGCGTGCACAGAAAGCAGGCAGGAGGCCAACATGGCAGAGGTCTGTGGATCAGCTGCTACAGTACGGAGTCATCGAGATCTCACCCTGTTCTCTCAACAGTAACCAAAACTAGCCTCTAAAACTAGCGGACAGCAACTCCAATAGCGGGTGGAGTGATGACCCCTAATTTTGAAAGCACACTGTTTACTGGAATGACGTCACCCTGTAGGTAGAAGGTGCTACCTCAGTCCACTGACTCTGCATCCTGTCCACTGAGCTTCCCAGCTTTGGGAGTGTGACATTGGGAACAGAAAGGGCTCCGTGTCTGAATCAGCGACACATGGTGCCAGAAAATGGAAGATTGGGAGGCTGAATTCAGGCTGCCTCTAGTTTAATGCCCTTCACTATGTTGGTCTCAGAATTTCAAACCCATGGATTTTAAAATGCGTGGAAGTGAATTTATAGACTCTGTGTGACCATGTAACATGATCGAATCCAGTGCCTTGGCTTGAACAGCCCATAAAAGTAATGCCTGACTCTCGGTCTGGGAGGCTACAGGAGACTACATTTGGGGCAGCGCCCAACTGTGGTCAAGACAGACAGAGGCCGAGAAAGCAGCGGTGCACAGACAGTGGATCCCAGGGCTCTGCACGGATGTTAAGGTGTGCTATTTCCACTGGTTAAATGGATCGGTTGGCCCTAATGTCTACGCTGGAGTACTGCAAAGGGAAAAGTGAGCTGAACACAGGCATCTCGGAGGGTTACACTAGAAAGCTCGGCAGCATCTGTGTGAACTTAACAGTGCGTGCAAGGCACCAAATGGCCTCTTGGCTCCTGTGGACCTCAGTTTTTAAATTCTTGGGAGAGGCCCATAGAACTGCTACTCATGGGCAGTGAGCACAGACTGTCTGTCTCACAGTCTCCGTGAGAGGGGATACCAAGAAAGTCTGCTCCCCAAGTGCTGTAGTCAGGGGTTGTGAGGAGAACAGTTAGAATCAGGACACAGAATTTATATTATTTTATGATGGCCACCCAGAGTTAAACACAAGAAAGTGCATGAAATCTGTCCACAACACTAAAGACCTAGAATATTCAGCCAAGGGCCTGGATCCCACAGCAACGTCCTGCACGAGTCCAGATAAAAACCTAGAGCTCATGACAAGGCCTCCCAGGAGTCCAACTGGAGGTCTAGAGCCCAGGAAAAGGATTCATACCAGTCTCTTTTACAGATCTGCATTGGCAAGGCCCAAAGGTCAGTAGTGGAAGCTAGAAAGTCTGTGCCAGTGGGGTGAAGGAGCTGTGCAGCTAGGCTGAGGGCTCTACACTGGAGCAGAGAAGTCACGCTCAAAACAAGAACCAAGGTTGTCCTGAAAAGCATCACAGCCATCCTTAGTGACATGGAAGTTCTGAGCTCCTTTGACAATAAGAACAGTTGAGTACATGCCAGAAAGCCAGCATGAGTTTCTCCTGGAGATTAAATGCCCACATCTTCCTCTCCAGAGCCAGGAAGTGATACTCGATGTAAGGACCAGAGCGCCCCCAAAGTGAACCACAGCCACTCTCACCAACAAGGTCCTGAGCTCCTCCAATGACAATGGCTGAACTCACACTGGGGTAAGCTAGTCATGATGAGCTCCTCCAGGAGAACCAACAGCTCAAACAGCAACACTTAGAGAAGCCCACAATGCCCAGCTCTCTTTCTCCACGTCTCTACTTATGCTGGCAAATTTCCTCAAGTGGAACATCTATGCTCAGCACCATGCTGATTTGATTCAGCTGGTGTTAAGTTGACCACCAGTTTTTCATCCCGTAACTCTGAACCCCTTGTGGATACCTACTGAAAGTGATGTCGATAACAGTGGATGTCAACAGACATTCAAGGTAAGCAGCAACGCGCGGGCTTCAGTTTCGTAAGATTTGCCCCTTTGACATTGGTTAAGCCTGATTATTTATGCAGAAAGCACCTGGTTGAGCTATAAAAACTGAAATATTATTAGAGATATGAAGAGGTCTGTAGATAAGGAAGGCAGTAGGAAGAGGGTCATCCAAATAAGGCAGGCTGCTGTCCGTCATCCCCACTGAGCACGAGGTGAGCTGCTGCAGAGGGAGACCTCCTTCCAACACCACGACTGAACAGCTGCCAGCCTCTCGTATCACAGGACATCCGTGTTCCTTTATGTGACACGTGTGGGCACGTGTGTGCACGTGTATGTACATAACATTGAAATGTAGGTGTCCTGTGTTCCTTTGCCTAATAATGCACAGATATTAGTATCTGGAATAGAGTTGTCTTACGCCGAAGTGTGTACAACCGTCTCATCTATAATCAGCGTGGCTCGGGGACATAGTTGCTGCTACAATCTTCATTTGACTGAATAACCAGAATCATAGAAGTCTCTGCGGCATTCCTAAGGTCATGCAGTTGGTAAATGGCTGGAGTCTTACTTCAAACTCCATCAAGGCTCAAGTTGCTGATGATCACCTTGATTTTTCGCTTGAGTTCTGGACCTAGTGGCCGCTTGGTGTAACCTTCTGAGCCTGTCTCTGATGCACAAGGCATCATCACCAACTCATCCTTCCTCACAACGTGTCACGCTCCTCCATAAAGCCAAAGGCCACTGCTCCCTGCCTGCTCTGGGTTCATCTCAGCTGCCTCCCCTTCCCTGCAGCCAGCAGTCCTGACAGCCTGCCTCCAGCTCCAGGCACTGCACAAACTTTCCTGCTGAGAACGGAAAGCCTTTTAAACTCCTCAGAAGGACTAAGATCTCTGGGACTACTGACTCCTTTTAGAGGTTAGCGATCTGCGGCCCATTGGCTACTCAGTTACCTGCGCTCCCAATAGCTGAAAACTTACCCTGCCCAGAATTCCAGACTTCTCATAATTCTCCTCTTCAGGAAACTTGTAAATTTGCCTGCCCCAGGCTTCTTGACAGTCCCAAGCCAAGCAATTAGCGCCATCTAAATTCCCTTTCAGCACTTAGAGAGTCAGAGGGCCACTGTTTGTTTCCCTGGCAGGTTGTGAGTTTGGCCTTTAGCCTGGGGCTGCCACATCCCCAGGGAAGTGGGCTGTCCTTCATAATTACACCCTGTGCAGGGAGCTACTGTAATATATCAGCCCTCATCAAAGCTCAAGGAGAATATTACACCAGTGATAAAGAATGAAGGATTCGCTGCCAAGTCTGAGTGGCTCAGAGATTTCACTTCAGGGCTGCAGGATTCTCAGACATTCCAGTCTGGGCTGGCTGTGCAGGTTGGTTAGGGAGGAGGACCTGGATAGCCACAGTCCTCGGTTTGATCTCTCCAGGACTCAGGGGGACCAGTTCCCTCCATGGAAACGTAACCTCGTGTGCATTGGATCACGTTGTGTGTGATCTGTGAGGCTGGTCACAAAGAGCACAAGTCCAGGTGCACAAAGGCAGGACTGGGCACCCACAGAGAGGCCCTGTCCAGCAGATCTCACCTGGACCCCCTTGCACTCCAAGCAAGCCTCTGTTCATGTCAGGGCTGGGCCATTCATCAGTCTGGCGAACTTGGAAATGCAAGTGTTTCCCAGTGAGATGTGAAATTTTCATGATAGAATGGAACTAACTTCATCAAGAATTTGCAAAACTCCAAAGAAAGAATCCAGGCAGTGCACAGAACCACCCATGGCACAGAGAGCATCCTAAACTGTTCCTTGTTAGTTAAGTTTCTGGAGTGTCTCTTTCTCATTTTGTAAGATGCTTAGTGACACTGGGAAGGAACTAATCTTAACTAACACATCTCTTGTTTCCACGATGTTAATCTGGTCCAGCAGAAACAATGAGTTCAGGGTGACAGTGAGTATCTATCTACATTTAAGAAAATCATTAATATTCCCTCTTCTTAGAGCTACTACTGTAAACACACACGGCCGTCTAACTTTAATGCATGGGAAAATGACATTACTTACAAGACAATTCCATTGCAAAATCTAATGGAAAACAGGTCTTTACCAATAGCAGCACAAATAAATGCACTTAGTTATAAAGGAAACTCAAGGGGATTATCTTGAGATATATGCAGAACCCACAGAAAACAAACACTTTTAACATTTCGTACTATTAATTTTGATTGGCTCAATAAAACAACTTTTAATAGGTAAATTTATTAGGTGGGTCAGCTGCGTACTAAAAACGATAATCCACAAAATGGTTAAGAACATGAATCTTTATGCAGTTCATAAACTCTGCTTTGGTTCTTATATTCAAATGCCTGTTTGTGTTAGAGACACTAAATAACAAAGTATTACACATTGTGTTTTTCACAGTGGTTCATTTAATTACCTCCTTATGGGGTCCGAGGTCAATGTATCCGCACATGGGGTGAAAGGCTCCGGTGCCGCACACGTAGACGTGGGTTTTGTTGTAGGGCTGAAGCACGCGGATGAAATTGGCACATTCTGTCTATGGGCACAACAGTGCAAGGCATTAGACAGGCTTCAGGGTTCTGCAGGGTTAACATTCATACCAGCAGATTTTCAGTAGATAGATCATCAAGACACAGGGAGAAACTGTGGCCCTGAGGGTGTGGTCCAGGTCCGAGCTCTGTGAAAGCCCAGAGGTAAATGCTCCATGTGCCCGCTCTGCAGGGAGAGGGAGTGAAGCCTTCCTTCCCCGGGAAGCGAAGGGCTCAGTACCCGCAGAGCTCAGTCACCCCAGCCTCCCCCACGGCTCCTGCTACACCTGGCAATCCCCCCATGGCCCCTGCCACACCCCACAATCTCTCCACAGCCACAAATTTGTGGACACATGGCAGGTATAAAAGCCCTGTGTTGCACCAAAGTAGATGTTGTCTGGTTTTGTTTTAGTTTGGTTCTGAGACAGTGTCTTGCCATGCAGTTGGGGCTGGCCTTACACTCACCATGTGGCCAGGCTGGCCTCAAACTCTGTGTCCTCCTGCCTCAGCCTCCTGAGTGCTGGCACCGCAGGGGTGACCCACCATGCCCTGCCGTCTTTCAAGCTATTTAACTTGTCTAGAAGAATTTTACAGAATGCGGCGAGCCAGGTCCTACAAAGACCTACAGCAAGCCAGGTCCCTGCCCTGGGCTTGATCTATGAAACCGCTCTCCCTCACCGGCTGGCAAAAGCTCAGGAGGCTTGAGTTACCTGACACAAGACACAAAAGAAAAGGGAATTAGCTCTGCTCTCTGAGCTTTGGCAGGGGAGCTGACAGGCCAGCAGGCAGAGCGGAGATAAAATCTCTCACGTTAACTGTTGCCCTGAGCAGAGGTTTCGGCAGAACAACCTGCTACAATGAGGTTTGTACAAGGGCCTCCCTTTCACTGGCTCCCTTACTGTAAATCTCAGAGATTAGGCGCTGTTTTCTTTGTACACTCAAGTTTCCAAGTTTCTCTTAAACACCCAGATGAATAATTAACCTGATTCTTTTCACTTAGGGACTTGCCTGCCCATTAATGGTACACAATTCTCTCAGGCGTGAAAAACAGGACTTTGAGAAGTGGCTTCGGCCCCTTCCCTGACAGGTGGGTAACCTCTCTGCTATGTCCTACAATGGCGATTGCGGCACAGACCCAGTGACCAGCAAGTAAGGCAGGAGATTTGGAAAAATGTCCGATTCCCCTTCTTCCCCATTCTTCCTAGAGGAACAGAGGGCGGCTACCAAAATCAAGCATCAGCATCTTGATTTTCTTACCGCATAGGTTTTCAGCATCCACATGCACATATGAACAAGTAGTCAATCAAGCTGCATGAATTTTGGAGAAAAAGTGCATGATCTTTCAGTTTCAGCTTCTCTGCGGGGGTTGGAAAGGCGCCAGCCGCCCGGCAGCACTTGCTGCCTGCCCTAGGGCCTGTGGTTCTCCTCTCAGCTCTATCTGTAATTCTGATATCCCAGTCACCATGCTAATTTGAGTTTATTTAGGCTAAATATAAGAAAACAGTCATTTAGAAGTCTGGTATTTGTTTTGTTTGATTCTCTTTCATGGCACTGGGGTTGGAACTCAAGGACTCCTGTGCTAGGTGGGGCACCGCTGACCCAGCTCCCTGAAATCTGTTTTCATTTTTAATGTATTTCTGATCATTATCTGGATGCAGTTTTCTGACAGAATCCGCATGGAGAACAGCTATTTAGGCCTCAGGATGTCTAACATATTTTAACAAATTGCCATTAATTCAAAATAAATATATAAAAATCTAAGTATCACATTTATCTAAAAAGGACGATCTTACTGGGTGTGGTGGTGCATGTCGATGATTCCAGCACTTGAGAGGCTGAGGCAGGAAGACTCCTGCAAGTTTGAAGGCAGCCTAGGCCTCACAGTGAACCCTGTCTCAAAAAGGAAAAAAAAAGACAATCTAACAGTAGAGATTTCTACAGCATAATATAACCAATTTTGGTAAAAGGCAAAGGGAAACGTTTTAAAGGAAAAGTTTAAGAGACATTCCTATTTAAATATTTCAAAGTCTGTATCTAACACAGGGCTACTGATGGAGAGTGTGTTTCTCCTTAGAGGAACACAGCGAATAATGTACTTTATAACATATTTACACATGAATTATCTAAGTATACACACACAACCCAACATAAAACACACAAGTGTGCATGTTTTATGAATCCTTAGGGAGCACTAAGCAAAAGCACAAGAATAGAAATAAGCCAAGTGCAGTGATATGCCATTAAAACACTAAGTTTATAATCGTATGCAATGTTTAGTATTTATAGTGAAGGAATTTCAACCTAAACAGCAAAAATATATTTTCATTTGTTGGCAAATATTGTTATTCTATTCACTGCTATGCAATCATAACAAATATGTTCTGTGTGCTGTATCCAATATTAGCAGGGGGCTGGGAAATTATTCCCTTGTAATCATGTACTGCTGGCTAGAATGCATGCATAGAGTCTTTGGAGGGCAGTTTAGCAACACGTGTATAAAAACCATACGTCCTTCACTAGTAGAAGCCTGACCCACAGGCAGAGATTGTCACAGCACATACATAAGGGATCCACGGGCTGTGGTGTCTTAGCCAAGAGAAGAGGCTGGAGAAGCAGCATAGGGAGGAAGGCAGTGTGGTCACGGAAAGCCGATTAGAGCAGGAGTGATGACATGGGACAGTCTACGAGGTAGATTAAGTGTCCTGGGGCTGATGTGTGCAGTGATTTTACTCTGAAAACAGAAATAGAAGAATAAGCACATGCTATCACCAGCTCCCAGGGTAGGCTGTGTGGGGAGGAGGTATGTACTAGTGAAGACTCTGCTTCTTTTTTGTCATAATTCACAAATTTTCTACAACAACATTGAGTTTTAGACCTCCTTAAAATGTCACGAGAAAGAAAATCATCGTAGAATTGCATTCTGGAAGACCCTCTGTGCTGCGTCTGCTCCCTGTGGCCAGTGCCTCTCTTTCTCTGATGAGCTGCTGCCCGGGGTTCAATTCTGAGGACGTTTCCCAGGTGACCCCGCTTTGAACAACCCTTCTAAACATAAAGGAAGCAGGATGTGATAGCGCCCTCGTATCCCTTCCCTCCCTTGAGCTAAATGACGGACTCTGCTCCGGAAAGTGGGACAGTTCTCCTGGTCTCTCTCCTGCTGCAGTGGGCCAGCATTCATCATGGAAAATAAGTCACTATCCTGTGGGTGTGCGGTACCTCTGTCTACAGGGAGAGTCTATGCAAACACTTGTTAATCCAAACACACTCTCAGGAAGCACACAGAATTTACTAGAAAGGAGGGAGGAGAGGGAGGAAGCCAAAGGCAATAAAAGATGCCACCACAGATTTGCCTTAGCTTCGTATTGGTTGAAATCCACACAGTGTGGTTCAAAATGAGAATCTACATTACGGTGACACAGAAAAGAGAAATAACTGGTGTGTGTGGGGCGGGGGCTGCAGACCTGTGTGTGAGGTGTACGGTGTTAGGGAGGAGTGGGGCTGTGTCCAGCCTCCTGAGTCAGGTCCTGGCCTCACACTCTTTACCAGATGCCAGGTATTGGACAAGTCACTTAATTTTCTGGCTTTTGAATTTGTTACCCAGAGAACAAGGAACCATCATAATAGAACATACTACATAGTATTGCTGCAAGGATTAAAGGAGCTTAGACATAGGAAGTACTAAAAATAGTTTCTCAAATTCCAAGTGCTACAAAAGTGTCAGCTGTCACCAGTAACTCTCAAATAGAGTGCTAAAAGTAAACAAAAAGAAACAAAGACTGTGTCTTCACATTTCAATATCAAGTGTTACAGTTTTAGTAAAGAAGGAAAATTTCTCCTGGCTCTAGTCTGATGAAGATGTGTTTGTTATTAGTTCCCAAACAGAACGGAACTCTGTATTTTCTGCACAGAGTCCGAGCTGCCCAACACTACTACAGCCAGCAAGATGCACCAGCCTTTGGTTGTATTTAGTAGCAGGGACAGTTCAGTTACTATGTAACTGCATTCAGTGGACATACAAACAGTCACACCATCACAATGTAAAACTTTACTGACTAACCTCCAGTGTTTATCCGTAGCTAATCAGGGCAAGACTAACTTTAGTTTATCAGAGAAAATTAAAAACATCCTTTCCCTCCTGGCCTCTTCAGCCAACGACACCAGTTAGACACAAGCTATAAAAATGCGCACACTGGTGTTGCCGTGCTCCTGCCCACGACTGGACACAACAATGCTGAGGACTCATTCCGGAAGTCTCACACATTCATTCACACAGACTCGATGCTTTGGAGACCTGACCTCTAGCTCAGGGCTCAGACTTAATAGCAGGATGCAGTTATTAAAGTCACAGGAAGAAGAATGATCTATTTTCTGTTCTCCTAGAACTCAATTGCTTTCTTCACCAGTGGAATAAAAGGGCAAGCTGTCTCTCACTGCAGTGGACACCAACTCTCCCTGGCAGGCTTCCGTACATGTAAACAGGGTCACCTTGAGTGCTAACTGAGCACCCACTGAGGCATAGCCACAGTTATCGTTCCTGGGCTGAGTATTCTGTCTCGTAGTCCCGTTCCATGTGGGGGGGTCACCTGTGAGCCCGTGTTCCACTCTGTGTAGGATCCGTGAAGACAGATGTCCTGTTTGCCTCACAGACACAGTGGTGCACATGCTGGTCTTGCATGTATTATAAATCCAGTTTCAACGCATACAAAATTAAACATCCATCGTGTGCTTGATTTTTTTTTGTACTTGTACAAAGCAATGCACATTAAGGAAAAACACGTCTCTCACAATGCTCTACTCTCTGATGGTGTACCTTTGAGTATTTTAATGTATTTCTCTTTTGTACATCATAATATTCAAAATTAATATATTAGAAAGCATAGTCTTTGTTAAATTTCTGGATTTTGGAGAACATTATCAGTGTTTTTGGCAAGGGAGAAATATTGAAAACATATTAATTTTATAGACTGCTAGTCCTAAAATGACACTAATGTCATTAATTCGGTAAAAATGAACACAAACATTTACTGTCATGTCAGGGACACTGACCAGGCGTAACTCTGAAGTCCATACTTACATTGGCATCCTTCCCAGCTAATTTGCATAATTCCACTCGTTCTTTGGGAGCAGGCCAGTGGATCTGTAAAACATTTCCGTGAGTTAGAATAGGAACACGCAACGCCCGGCTCTGCCCAGCTCTGAGCGGAAAAGGGGCTGGGCCACACGGCAGAGTGGGGCTGAATCCCGTCTAGGGTCAGGTGAGAACCCAGAGATTCACAGCTTCAAAGCCAGCCTGGAAAGCTCCTAAGGGAGGAAAGCGCAGGACCAAGCGTTGTTTTCATTTGTGAATCTCATTGCTGTATGAATGAGGGCAGCCATGGGTAGTGGAGGCCCTGAATTCCCGTGGTGTTGTCCTGGGTTATGTCGGGAGAGACAGGCTGTGTCTCTGCGGCTCTGCGTGTCCCCGCAGAGAGCGCTCACAGGACCCTGAGAGGATCCAGCTGTGCCATGTGCACCAGCCCTCACCCGCCCAGCACCCACCTGAACTTGCCGAGGGTATTTAACCTGCCTGGGGTCAGACACGCCTGTCACCATGTTAAATATCTTAGGAGCATCTTCTCTAAATCCCACCAGGACCCTGTGAGACAGCCATGTTTATTCCCCTTGTTTTCAGGGGACCCCTGAACCCCTCAAGGAACCGCAGCTCAACTGCCAGAAAGCTACTCATGGCACAGTCACAACCTGACCGGCTCCGTCTCCCACGTGGGGGCCACAAACCTTGGTACAGAAAATGTGACCTGGACGCACGGTTAAGATCAGATGCTGCGCCCACCTTGGTTGGTGGCTTTTAATTAGCATTACAATCTTGAATTCATCAGCAGGTTTTGCTCTTGCTGTTTGCATCTGTTTTTACTAAGTTTCTTAATTGTGGCAGGAAGACTTTGCAAAGAAAGGTGCACACAGTTCTTAGTCCATTAGTGCAGGGCGAGCGAGGCTCTGCTGGCCGTCGGCAGGAAGAGACAGGCACACCAGCTCTAGGGGGCTCATGGAATGTCCTCTGACAGGCCACCAGTGTGAGCAGAAAACATTCTAATAGGCAAAGGAGAAAACCACCCTGTGGCAGCACGCTGAGAGACTTGTAAGTCTGAGATGAACTCAGGGTTTGCCAAGCACGGCTAATGTGATCTTTATCACAAAACCCCGGGCTTTTATGTGTCTGCATGGAGAATGGAGAATACAGAACAGAGTGCCGAAAAATCCTCTTGCAGACTGAGGCCACGAGGGGTTGAGGGTTTAAGTGAAGTGAGTTTGTTCCTTTGGACCACAGAGCAGTGTCCGAAGTCACCACCCTAGCCACAAAGGGGCAGGGCACTCAGTGCAGACCAAGCCCCTCAGCAGAGCCCTAAGAAGCTCACTTATCTGTTCACAAACCTGGCTTCGCCTGGGCTGCACCTTCCTGTGGCTGTAAATCAGTTGCTAAGTATCAAGGAGGCACAGCCAGGGGCATGATGGGTGCATCTGAGCGATCCATTATTAGGGGAAACAAAACAAAACAAAACTAATCATCCAAATTACAAAACGCTAGAACCTCTTAGAATAAGGTAAAAGCAACTAGAACAAAGCAGACACATTTCAGATCCACGTGCGGCTCGGTTCAAGAAACACGGGTGTTCAAGACCGGGAGGAGCATGCTGATGAGGGGAAACAGGTTATTTGCCATTGGTTTGTTCTGGAAACCTAGCTTCCAGTTTTTGTTTCATTTATTTGGTTTTGATTTGGAGCTTTTGAGACAATCCTCCTCCAGACTCTCAAGACGGAACAAGGCTGAGTTACACGCCTGCATGATTTTCAGGCGAGTAATACACAACTTAAGACAACTAAGTCACGTACGTTAGTAAATAAATGCACAAAAACGGGCCACACATCAGTGGGCTGCCAAGAGCCAGGGAAGAATCTAGAATCCTGAAAACCTAAAGGAACATATACATCTGGTGGGACACGTGAAAGCTTTTCAAAAAACGAAAAAGAACTTTTTGTTGTTTATTTGTTCTTAACAGCTGGTAGAAAAATCCCGGACCAGGCATTCTGCTTCCCTTTAAAAGACAATCTTGAATGTGCAGAGTGGGTTTGTAATCTTAGTGGAGAACACTAGGTGTGGGATTCTTCTTGTTTCCTTTGAAAATAACAACTTGATTTTGTGGAGTTGTAGCTTACACAGACTAAAGATATCACCCGGCTTTTCCTCGTTTTGGTTTGTCATTACTTTAAATTAAATGAAACATATGCAAAGTAAGATTTACCAGTGAATTTCCAGAACATTGTGTCATGCAGAATAAATGCCGTTCTCCTCGATTCTTGAACAGTATTTTTGCAAAGGGCAGCTTCACGGCACTGGACAGAACACATATTCGTGAACTGACAACTGGTTTCCTCCTTGGCTGGTTTTATTTGATTTCTAGTCTAGGTTTATATTTCTTTGGGTCCTTTCAGTCTGTCAGATTCTGATCTTCCAACTTTTGATAATCAGCTATAATATTGTACCATATTTTAGGAATACATTTAGGGCAAATATTTATGGTTTTACTCAGAGTTGCATTTTTTACTGGTGTTGGTCCTGTAGCAAAAGTCAGAGGAAAGCATTGAACTGTCTCCTGTTAAGTAGATGGGCACGGAGGTGTGGAGAGCCCATCATGGGATCCCAGAGTGTGCTCCACGCCAGTGTTCTGGGTGACTGAGTTACGAATCAGGTGACATCCCCAACTCTGGTTTCCCTAATATTCTTGGTGCGTCTGAACTGAAGGCACTGCTTACGGATGATGATTTGTGAAAGCCTTGGTGCCCACTGTGAACACCTAAGTGAGGCTTTCTAAGCCGCATGGAGTGGTGAGAGCTGAGGCTGGGCCCCAGGTGCTGGGTTCCAAGCCGGGGGGCCGTGGCCACTGTGTCACCCAGGAACACAGCAGATGGGAGCCCCAGCCAGCACCTCCTACCGTTCCTGGTTGACAGGAGAGCTTAGTTCCATTCATAGTTTCAAATCTAAGTTTTGTTATGGACTTGACACTAAAATACTAATTGCGCATTTTCCTCTGTCTTCGCAAAGGAATAAAGTTCTAAAAGATGTTTTGATTTTTTATTGCACATTTTTAGTTATTAACTTCAAGTCACATGATTACACACAGGTTTGTATTATCCTACCGAGTAAAACAATAAACTATTGACGGGAGAGAACTGCCTTTTTTTGAGACAGGGTCTCACTGCGTAGTTCAGGCTGACCTTGAGCTCATTATGTAGCCCAGGATGGCCACGAACATGTGGTGACCCTTCTGCCTCAGCTCCCCAATGCTGGAAGTACAGATGTTCACCACAGCACCCGGCTTGCAAATTAACTTTTTGATTAGCAGGTAAATGTTGTACAGATACAAAAGTACGGCTAATTTGTTGGACTCCAGAACGCACTTTTAAATAGATCCTCTAATCTGTTTATGAAACAGATTTTTTTCTGGAATGTTCTCTTTCATCATTCATCTTTAACTGCATAATGTCTAGAGGTTGATAAAACCAGAAACTGAGAGCACTGTATCGTGGCACAGGGATTCTCACAGAAGATCACAAGGCATCTTTCGTAAGAACTATGGAAGACTTCAAAGTAAAGATCCATCGAGATTATAGATTGGCTTCTTTTAAAACAACACTGTCAAGAACTTAAGAATTACGAACAGAACCATGTTCAGTCACAAGAGCCTACAAAACATTTGATTGTCTTCCAGACTCCAAACTCTTACTTAGAAGGGGAAATAATACCATTGTACTTATGCCAATATTTAACATGTAATTTCAATTGTGACTTATGGTGGAATTTCTTTTATTTGCTGCCTAGTCATTAGGATTAAGGGTTTATTTTTTTTTAAAACAATATTGTTTGACTCTTAATTAGTAAAACTTTTACTTGATTCACTATAAATATGAAACAAAGTAAGATAAAAAGTGCTGACAGACACTGAGGGTGCTCACGTGTTGCTTACAGAGGAGCAGAAATGTGTGCAAGCAGCAGCTCTGTGTTAAAGTCTTTGACATGACACATATGACACACTCTCTGCACACCCAGCACCCTGCACCGCAGGACCTGCATGGCTAACCGCAGATGAAAGGATCTGAAAGGGTCCCGCTGCGGAGAAGAGTGCTATCCAGGCACCAGAAGCGCACAGCTGCGCCACATGTGAGACCATGGGGGACCCAGGCCGTCAGGCTGTGCAGGAAGCGGGCACAGAAAGTGCCTGAGAGCACGGGGTCTCTCACAGGGGAACCCCAAATCTAAGTAGATTAAAGCCTTCAAAGAGCAGAGATGGTAAGAAACAGAGCTGGTTTTCTCAGACAGGGAAGGGAAAAGAAGGCAGGGAGAGAAACTGGGGAGGGAGTATCAAAATTATCAAAATGCAGTAAGTACAGATACACCTATCTGCAGATATACAGATATACCGCTATGTATACCGATGTATATATATGTATATATACACACACACATGTCTGTCTATATATCAAGTTCCCCAAACTTACAACTACAAAATGCCCTTTAGAATTACTTTTCTTACTTTATATAAGCGTGATTCTTACTTTATATAAAGCCTCATGCATTCCATTCACAATCTATACAATTCTCTAACATTTATCTATCCTTCAGTGAAGTGAAAATGGCACACAATTTGTTTCAATTATTCAGTGCCAGGCCAGTTTCAGAAACTCTGGTGCAAGGATAAGCCGAACCACTGTCCCCTTCCTCCTGGAGAAGGGTTAATGCCTGGGGCTTATCCAGCAGGAGGTCAGCCACGCCCTGGGGGCCTCCATCCGGGCCAGAGATGACCTCTGCTGTGTGAGACAGGAGGGAGTTGCAGCTGGTTCATAAAAGCTAATTAAAGAGGAAGAGCTCCAGGGACGGCCACCCCTCTGTCCAGGGCAGGATGCCAGTGCAGGAGGCTGCAAAGAAGTGGACAGCATAGCTGTACACCGCTGGGCACCAGGACGCCAGGCTCCTGAAGAAGAGGACAGGAGCAGAGCAGCTCCCAGGCTGACGCTGGGGACCCTGGAGGAAAGCAGGGACCCCGCAGGAGCTGTGCGAGTGGAACACATTGCTTCCTCAGAGTT